GTCCGGAAGTTTAGTTGAAAAATTTATTTTTATATGTAAGATTTATACTTTTTTTTTGACAATTTTGACAAATCATTTAAACTATTTTTTTTTTTTTTTTTTAGTAAAATATTCAACGAAATTTGTTAAAAACATCAGTTCTTTCTAGAATATCATCATTGTTAAGCTTTTTATAAAAAAAAAAAATAGTCTAAGATTTTTGAAAACTTTCAAAATTTGTTTTACTAATAAATTTAATATGAAAAATACAATTTCATCATGATAAAAGGCATACTGTATGATTCTCTGATTGCTGATAGTTTAATTTATCAGAATTATTTAAGCAAAACAATCATTTGATAATATTATCGAATTTTATCAGTTTGCTTTCTAGAATTTGTTTTTAAAAATTAAAAAAAAAATTATTGGAATATTTTTATGAAGAAAACATTTTTTTTATTTTAATTAACAAAACGAATACTTCATTTCCTTCTCTTTATTCATTTCTTTTCTCTCATCACTTTTAACAATTAATTAATTACAAACGAGACCTTTACGTGTTTAATTTATATTTTTACAAAAGAAAAAAAATTGTCAAAATGACAGAAAAAAACAATGCGACAATTTGTTAAATCTTTCTGATTAATACTTATCACAAATTGAATTTTTATGCTATTAAATTGCTTATTTAACAAAATTTTTTTTATTTATTTTTTTATTCAATAGCTTAGAAAAATTTTTTATTAAATTGTAAACTAAATTATTTATTTTTTCAATTTAATACTCGAAAATGAAAATTTTGAATTGACACAAATTTTGGCATGAATTTGAATTGATATTAAATTTCAAATTTGAATTAAGGCCATTCTTCATTTTTTAATTATAATAAAATTTAAAACTATAAAATATGTAACAATGCAATGTAATTATGAAGACAAAAGTTAATTCGAATTAATTAGCAAGCAAATGTTACATTATCACTGATTTGCAAACTCATTCTTTCACCTCTGAACTTTAAAGCTTTAAATGGAAAAAGACAGTGTTACTTGTTGATATGAATAATTCGAAAATAATTTGAATTAAATAAATATATTTATTTCTGATAATTATCAAATTGCTAGTCAAAATTGCATTTATAGATGAAAAAAAAGAAATGTAAAAGTTATTGCAATGATAAACGACTAATTAACTTTTAATCACATCTAATGATCAATCATAAATTTTAATAATTAATAATAAAATTTAAGAATAAAAAAACACTTAGTTATATTCACCATGATTATTATATTTTTCCAATAATAAAAGCATAAAAATATTATCAAAGAAATATGCATAAAATTGATTTATTTCATGATAAGTAAATTTTAATTATGATAAGATTAATGATACGATTATTGCCATACGGTAAATAAAATGCATATAATCTATTCCATTATCTTTTATTTGTTTTTATCTTTTCACTTATCAGCTGCTTTTCCATCATTGTCAGTTTAATTCTAAATTCTATTCCTTTTAAAACGAAAAAAAAAAAAGAACCCGAACACATATAATGTTGATTAAGCTTTTTCGATTTTAGTTTTCAATTTTGGTGACAGTTTTAATGACAATCGCATACCTTATATATATATATATATATGATCTCTATAATTTAGAAATTTTATTTTAGGCACGAATTTTCTTAAGTTTAATCTTGCAAATTTATTGTATTTATAAACTTTCGTTAACACTGTCCAAAAAAAAAGCTCACATTATTTGGTTAATTTTAATGTTTCAAATATTCCCGAAAACCTAAATTATTCCAGAATTTTTATCAACATAATTCGAAAATTTATTTCATCCAGATGTTAAAATGTATTGTTACCAATAGTATTGTTATCAAAACTTTTTCTTGACCAGTGACCACTTTGATTTTTTCATTCATTCACACAACAAGGATTACAAAAAATTTAAAAAATGATAAATTCTATTAATTTAATAATAAACTTTAATCAAAAGTTTTAATTTATTAATTTATCAAACATTGATAAGAAATATTTCCCTGTCCATTTTTCATTTACCACCGCTATTAACCTTTATTTGACCATTAGTAATCCGCGAATTATACCAATTTGGAAGCATATTAGTGTAATTGTTGTGAAATCAAAAATGCGCCTATTTTTTTAAGCCTTAATTTTTTTCTTTTTGTTTATTCAAACTTTTTTGATTTTTAAAAAAAATTAACTGAAAGAATGAAAATTAAACCTCAAAAGTTTTCATCCTTTTTAATCGTTTCTATTATTTATTTTTTTTTTTTTTTTTTGTTAAGTCAAAAAATTTGTTTTTTTTCTCCTTTTTTTTTCCTGTTTAATAAATTTTAGGTGAGAAAAGCTCTTTGGTTATTGATAATTTACAGGATAATGATGAAGCGGAAATGATGTTTCGCCACCACTTG